CAACATTGTTCTGCCCTGGCAAAGCAAAACAGACAGAAAACTGGCTGTGGAAAACTCCCTTGGAGTACAGAAACATGCAGAGAGAAGTGGATACATAGGTGAGGAAGTATAAATTGATAAATAATTTTTCTTTCGGTCAGGCTGCTCAGGAAATGCAGTCTGTGGTTTCTCACAATGATGTGTAAGACAGAAATAACAGACACATTATCAGATTTATCCATCGTTCCAACCAAATCTTGGCTGGGTGTTCTGTACCTCTGCAGTTCCCTTAAATGTGGCCTTTGAAGGACACTTCCATCTCATAAATATTCAGTCCCACATCTATAAAAATGTGTGGAAGAGTAGAAGAACTTGTAAAGGAGGCAGAAGTAGACGAGTGAGGAAGGTTTATTTGTGAAATGTCTTGTGCAATTTTTATTGCTCCATCCCAGCTCCTGTCAGGGGTTCTTCAGCTCTGGCTGCAGATGTTCTTTAGGTGAGTGATGTGAGTGAACCTGTACGTCACTGAGTTGGTTTGGGATTTGCCATCTGTCTGTGCTGCAGACCAGTGTGGGGAAGAAATAATTAGAAGGAAATGAGTGAAATGATAGAAGTTGTGCCTGGCTCTCCAGCAGCGTGCTTTATCTCTCCCAGCTGTTCATTTCCATGCTTTCTGATATATGATTCCAAAAAATACTTTTTAGTGGTGCTAAAATTCCAGTCCCATTACTGGAATCCCTTGCAGCTTCAGCGACCAAAATCTTTTTGTCCCAGCAACATAATTTTCCCTGCTCTTAATTTTTATTTTTAAGCATTGTGATTTATTTTATCCATTTCTAAACCAAACTATTACTGTGTTGTGGCTAAGAGTAATGCTTTTCACACTTCAGGGTGTGAAATGCTGAGTGCCACAGTTTCAGGTTGGTCCATGACGTTAGAAAGAGGTATTGACACAGAAATCTCCAGTAAAGGAGAACTTATCCTAAATAATCATATTGAAATCCCAAATTCTGCAGTGTAGCCACTCATCTCAGGCCACACTGTTTGCTTCTTGTTCCTACTTAAATTCTGGATTTTCATTTAGATTCTGATGTATCTCCTGATCATTCTGCTGTGATTGGGAAGCTTTCCTTGCTTGGAAAACACAAGTCCCTAAGCAGATATTTTCAGTGACACTTTTATTGCAGAAAGATCATAAACTCCATAAATCTTTGAAATTTATTTTGCAGTACTTTTTTCATATTAAGGCTAAAACAGCTGAGGTTTTTTTTAATTAAAGCAGAATACTATTAAAAAATAAGCTCCTTATGAAATAGTTTAGTTGGATTCAATTTATGTTTCTTAAAGAGAAATCTTTGTATGGGGAATGGGTGATGATGCAGAGGGAAGGCTTGCTTGGCACAGTGCTGGCAAAGCCACAGCTTTTTTGTGTTGTGTATTTCCTTTTGTCACACCTTAGAGTATCAAAACAAAGCTTAGGAAAAGCTTAGGACATGCACAAATTTCCCTGCTGCTCCCCTTGCCAATGCAGAACATCCCAAATAACATTTCATGTGTCACCCCTGTCAGTCTACGCTGACTTTTTCTCCTGTCTTTCCACCTACTTCTCTATTCTTTTAATTCCACTCTTGGATCTTTTTTTTCCATTCTTTTATGTAGAAACACATCCTGTTGAAAATCTGCAGCCACTGCTTTCCTGGGATTCAGCCTTTTGTACCTTGTTGACCCTGCACTGAGGCGAAGCATCGACATGATGTTATTATCTGGAAGAGCCCATTTGTCAGAACGTTCTGGCAGTTTCATGTCCCTGATCTTGGACTTTTCTGTGGCTCACCATAAAACAAACAACCCTTCTGCCCCCAAAAATTCTCTGATCAACACCTGGCTGCAATCCCTAACACGGAGGTGCTAATTAAAAGCATCGCTGAAAAGGTCAGGCTATTTCAAGACAAGAACAGAATGTAAGATTAAAGGCAAAAATTAGGCTTGGGGGTACAGCAGGGGCTAGAAGAATGAGTCAAAAAGCTGCTGCAGTAATTTAACATTCTTCTTGAAATGTCCTCATGGCTCAAAGTTCACTTTTGACCTCAGTTTGCTCGCCTTGGGGACTAATTTAGTACAGATTTTCATACCACATTAACTGGCCTCTGAGAGTTGAACAGGAAAGCCAACCTGTTCTTTTCTTACTGGGATTTGGAGCATATGGCAGAAGTCTTTTGAACTTCCTCTGCTGACAAATTGGGAGTCACTTTGATTTTTGGAGACATTTTTAATTATGTGTCTTTAGTGTTTTGTAAAACCACTGAGTTAAAAATTAATACAGCCCGAAGCAGTCGTAAACTCTGTTTCCTCCTACGCAACATAGCAACAAAACTGTTTATCATGTTTTACTGTAAAATCATTACAGGTCTGCACTCGTGTTCATTTCAGCTCTGATGTTTCTTTGATGCTGGTGGAAAGTTTACTCAATGTTTCTGTCCTGGTGCTTGCCTTTAAAGATGCTGTGGAATTCCAGCAGCAGTCTCTGAAGGAAGGGAGCTGGCTGCAGTTATAGGGGATGGGAATCCTTTGTTGGGAGAAAAGGCTGAGGGAGCTGGGGCTGTTCAGCCTATCAGATCCCAGAAATTATTATTGCTTTTCTTCTATTTCAGTGATTTTAATTTCATCTATGGACAATATCTGCTCTCCCAGCATTTCATCCATTGCTTCTTGAAAATACCCCCAGTAACTCCTCCTCGTGTTTAGTCCCCTTTTGCTCTGAACCACGTTAAAAACCTCAGCTTTGTTCTGCAACCTGCAGTAGCCTCATGAAAGGTGATGGAAGAAAAAAGAAACTCCAGCTGCTAATAATACCAACACCTTGAAATTGTTTTGAAAAGTAGGTCCACTGAATGTATTGAAATAACAGACTAAAGGCTTTGCAGGAGGATGATCCCACTGTATCTGGCTTTTTCCTGACTTTCAGTGCCTTGTTAATGAGAGCTGATTCTGACTTTCAAATCCATTGCAGTCACTTGGAAGACAGCACAGGGCTTATAGATCAAAATACATCTATAACCAAAGGAAAAGCTCTCAGAAGCTGCCTTGGCACACTTTCAGGTTTCTTTCTGTACAAGTTCAGTGGTCACCAATCAAACAAATGGCTGCAGAATATTGCAACTGATTTCAGACTTAAAGAAAAATACCGTGACCTCATGAATAGAAAAACCTTAATTTACCAAACCCAAGTTTTTATTCTTTTTCTTTGACAACATTCTGCTTTCCCCGAGGGGAAATCTCAAGACACGAAATAAATGTGTGAATCCATATTCCGGCACTCCATCATAAGCAGACTGAACCTGACAGGTATAGCCTAGGGAGGAAAGAGAAGCTTCCATAAAACTTAAGTAGCACAGCCTGAAATGCTCAGGAAATAAGACAACTTGGAAAAGCATTTAAAAATATGCAGGGGAAGAAAAAGGAATATAGGTATCTTTTTATTGATAGGAAAAGTAAAGTATTTTGTAAATGAACATTAAAATCTTCTTTAAAATGCAGCTTAGGGTTGAAAAATGGAATTATTAACCAGACTTTAAATAAAGGCACAAAGCAAAACTGGCTGTTGGGTGCATGTATTGATTTCTGGCTGTTGGTAACTTATGCTTTTGTCAAAGATGTTTATCCCTTCAGAATCCCATTCTCTGTTATTGGCCAAGTTTTTGTGTTGGCTCAGAGGCTCCAGGGAGAAAACAAATATATTTCCATTTTCCATGTCAGAGCTAAGAGCACACATGAAGGTTTTGTCCTAACCTCATGATTAGCTCTATTATATACCAAAAATACTTTGGAAATACTGCTTGGAAAGGCAAAAGACAGAAACCAACACAGGGAAGATTTTAACGAGAAATTTTAGAGAAATGCCTTCAGATAAGTATGGCTGTATGAATTTTCTTTGGAGAAAATGACTGTCCAGCTGTTGGTAAAAACCATTTGGTTTGCAGTGCTGCTGTACCTGTTCACTTCCCTGGTGCTTGAGGATGTGCTGCCTCTGATGGCTCAGTGCAGCTGGATTATTCTCTGAGTTTAATATTCCCAGATTTTTACATGTACAACCCTAAAGGACTTTAGTTTCTTTAGTTCTATTTCAGTAACACACACAAGCATGAATAATTTTGAATAAGAAATATTAGTTTTGCCATACCCTTTAAATACCTTAATCCACCTTGAGATGCAGTCTCTGGGGGATGCAGAATAATTTTCATAGAGTGACCACTCCTAAGCTGGCAAGTTCCTACTCTTGTAACCACTCTGGGACTCAGCCACTGTGAATATTTCCACTGCCCTGGTGGAAATATGGATTTTGCCATCTGTCACTTAGCAGCGTGATCTAAATCAGTTATTTTTCATGGAAATTCAGGAGGCTATTCTGTGGACAAAGTTAAAGTGGGAAATTCCATCTTCTCTTGAAACTGAATCTTCTAGCCAAAATGAGATCTGGAGATTCTCCTTAGTCCTCCTCTCCTTGCAAGTGTATTTCTAGGGAACATTGTTGTTGTGTCTTGTTTATGGCATTGTCCAAATTCACTTCAGGCTGCCTTTGACCCTTATAATTTTGTCCCTGCAAAACCTCACGACTTCCCTGTAGCCCTCCTGAGTCATGGAAGGGGAGGCACAGCAAGGAGCTGAAGAAATGAAATGCTGCAGAGAATCTCCTACCCTGGTACTGCTGGGAACCTGATTACACACATACATATCACTCATGGTGAAAATTACATCCAGGGGCACCAGCAGTGATGCAGCTGGACCTAAATCTGAGATTTTTATATTGGAAAAGAACTCCAGGATCCCAGAGTCCAGCCTTGAAATGGAACTAAACATTCCTGGTTCACTGGCAGTGTCTCAAAGCAGCTTTGCTTGAGGGTGAATGGATGATCCAGTGTATTGAGGAGAAATCAGGCTGTAATTACCAGGAATTCCAAGGGGAAATGTGTGTTCAAGTGTGTTCTAACCTCTTGTTTTGTGTTTTTTTGTCTCCCTTACAGAGACAAGGAACCGGGGCTACAAATGGGAAAGACAAGACGTCTGGTGAGAATGGTAAGGGTTGTCTTTATTTCTGGATGGAGAATAATGAGTAAAATGGAGCCAAAATACTTTTTACTGTAGTCTCAGATGTCTGTAGTGAAGGCTTTGGTGTCATAAGTTGTCTTTTGATTGTGTTTGAGAAACTGGAAGGGCTTCAGTGGGTTTGTTTTCTTTTTATTTGCACATTTAAACCCTTTGCTAAAGTAGAGTGTGTACTGTGGTAAACCAAAGGACATCACACAAGTCAGAGCAGACACAAGTGGGGCTAAAACAAGATTAGATATGTGTGAAACACCAAAAAACAAGACGGGGTATTATCAGCTGCTCCATGAATGAGGAAGGTGAAGAGAAATAAAATTTCAAAGGAATTGTTCGTAGAATTTCTGCAGTCTGATGAATCCTGCCTAACTTTAGGCCCAGAACTAAGACATCAAAGTTAAAATTCACTTGTTTAGAGCTCATTTGGTGTTGCTAGAGAGAAGCTATGGATGGAGCAGCTCTCATGGAAGGACCAGATGGCAAATTTCATCACTGGAATGAGTCTGGACTCATCTCCACTCCTCCAAGGGGTGACTCATGGGGCTTTTTCAGACCTTAACAAAGGGGCTGGCAGAAACCAGGGTCAGCTCTTTTAAGTGGCACAAACAATTCTAATTAAAAATGTTGATTTTTTTTTTTCCCAGAAGAAGGCACAATGGAATTTTCAGGAAAGCAATAATTGTTCGGGGTTTTATTAGCTGAAATCTCATTTTATTTCTTAGAGGAGCACTTTACACACAAGTGATAATTGATTAAAAGCTGGTTACCATCAGACACATTTTTCAAAGGAAAATATTTTAAAATATTTAATTTTTTTAATACACTCATCTGAAAAAGAAGCAACATCGGAAAGATGATTGAACTATAAAATGTGCTCTCTGCTTCTGTTTGCTCATCCAGTTCTAATTAAAATAATGTGTTCAGTGTTCATCCTATCCCCTGAAAAGCAGGAATGATCCAAGTAGTCCCTTCTCTGAAAAGGCTTTTCCAATGGGTCATTTGAGCAGTTATCTTGGATGTGTTTTGGCCTTTTAAGTGTTGGTCAGAGTAGAATTTGTGGGCCCTTTGAAGCAACACATCCTAAACATTAAGAGCCTTCTTTATGGATGGTTTTCCTATTACAGGGAGGTGACTTTCCCATAAGGGCTGTTTGCATAATGTTTCAGTAAATGAAATCCATAGATGATGCTCCCACTATGATGAAACACAAATTGGAGTGGAAAAAAAAAAAACCCAACAAATAAATATTTTGGCTTGTTATAATGTCTTGAATTAGTGGGAACAAATGTACCCTGACAGCAAAGCAATTTGCATTTTCAAGTTAACAGGGAAGGAAAGCAAGCAAAATTATGTCAGCCATTCGGGCAGCATGGGGAGCATGTTTTTCTCTTTTCTGTTTGAGCACATTATGAACTCAGCTCATTTGCCTTGAATTTCTTTCCAAATAAAAATTTCTTCCTGAATAAAATCGTCCTGTTGTCAGGTTTAGCTTAGATTTACTGATTCTGCAGCCTTTTTAAAAGCAATTTTTTTTTCTTAGTGGGGATTTTTGAGTGAGCAAGGGCTGCATCATTAATTCAAAAATATATATGGTTCTAGTTGTAGCATAATTTTATGTATAGCATACACAGACAGATGCACAGTTAATCTTGGGTAAATAGATACCAATTATTTTTTGTAATGAAATTATAGCAGAAAAGCTGTCACCTACATAAAACACAGGAGCAGCAGGGGAGATGGAATAGAGTCCTCTGATCTCCCCAGCCCACATGCTTGCATAAAAATAAAGCAGAATCAGAACTTTGAACCTGAGATTGAATGCTAAATCAAAGAAGCAGAAATGTGTAATTCTTTGTCCTTATTAGCTCTGTGTGGTTCAAACTCAAGCAATGATTTATTGCTCTGAAAATTGGGGTGTGCTGGAAACCTACACAGACAATATAAATCCTCTGTTCCACGTTTTTCTGGCCAGAAGTCCGCAATATGTCCATGTCTTAAATGTTATTAGCCTTTTCTTTCAAGTGTTTGTTTCCCTGTCAAAAGGAAACTTTCCCTTTTGTTTCCCTTTTGTTGAAAAGGATGGAGGGAGGAGAAACAAAAAAACTCTTTCATCCTATAAAAAGAAAGGAAAAAAAAGGAAAGTCATGCTCTGACAGTGTTTGCAAAGGCAAACTGGTCTGGTTGCTGTCTTTGCTCTTGTTTACAGATCAGGAAAAGCTGCTGAAAACTGGCTCAGACAACAAGCAGAGATGCTTGGCTTTTCTCAGGGTTTGGTTCACACAGTGAGACTCTTTGGGGTCGAGCTTTCTTCGTGCACTGCAGTAGAAAATGAATTTTGGGTTTGCCTCTAGGTTAGGTCGAAGCTGAAGAAAATGAAATAATGACCATGGCAATCAACAGTGTCCCTCTTTGAGACATGTATGGCCTTGCTGTCACTGTGCAGCACTCAGGGAAATGCAGGCTCTGAGGATTCCTTTTATAGCAGGGGTGGTTTGGGTAGGCACAAATGCATATTCTTGTTTGACCTTCCTTGTAGAGGGACAGTCTATCCTTAATTGTGTTTAGTTCCTACCCCCACAGCAGCTCTTAGCAAACCTCCCTTCAGCAGCAGGGACTGCTCTGCTGCACACAAGGGTGGCTGAGGATGGCAGGGACCACAGGGGACAGCTGGTGCCACCTCCCTGCTCCAGCAGGGCCATCCCAGAGCACAGGGCACAGGGCTGGGTCCAGGTGGCTCTGGAATGTCCCCAGGGAGGAGCCCCCAGAGCCCCTCTGGGCTCTGCTCAGGGCTGGGCACTGCCCAGGGCAGAAGTTGTGCCTCCTGTGAGGGGAATTGCTGGGCTCAGGCCCTGCCCGTGGCTCTGGGGCCATTGCTGGGCCTGGAGCAGAGCCTGGGCCTGCTCTGAGCTCTGCACACAGGGACAGACACAGGGACAGACACAGGGACAGACACAGGGACAGACACAGGGACAGCCAAGGACAGACACAGGGACAGGCACAGGGACAGCCACAGGGACAGACACAGGGACAGACACAGGGACAGACACAGGGACAGCCAAGGACAGACACAGGGACAGGCACAGGGACAGCCAGGGACAGACACAGGGACAGACACAGGGACAGCCAGGGACAGACACAGGGACAGACACAGGCCCAGGCAGGCCCAGGCAGGGCTGAGCCCCTCTCTCTCCCTGGGCTCCTCTCCAGGCTGAGCAGCCCCAGCTCCCTCAGCCTTTCCTGGGCACGGAGCTGCTCCAGGCCCTTGCTCAGCTCCAGGAGCTCCTGGCCCTGCTGTGCTGAGGAGCCAGAGCTGGGCACGGCAGCCAGAGGTGCCCCCAGGGTGGGCACAGGGGCAGGGTCAGCCCTGACCTGCTGGCAATGCCCATCCCAGTGACCCCAGGACAGCTCAGTGTCCCTCAGGACTCCACACCCCTCTCCAGCAGGGCACCCGCAGCCTGTGCTGGTGCCTGGAGTTATTCATTCCCAGTTGCAGGGTCCTGTATCAGCCCTGGTTGAGTTTCAGACAGTTCTCTGCCCGTCTCTCCAGCCTGTCACAGTACCCCTGAAGGGCTGCACAGCCCTTGGGGGGGACCAGCTGCTCCTCCAAGCTCTGTGTCATCATCAGACTTGCTGAGGAGGCTTCTGCCCCTTCATCCATGTCATTGGTGAACAAGTTAAACAATCTGGGGTCTATATTGAACCCATAACCTCACTGGGCCCTTGAAGGACCTCAGTGTACCTGAAACCCAGGAGATGCTTGTTTGTGAAACTGCAAATGTAACTTGTAACCCTGTTCCATAATGCTGTTCTCTGTGGTAGAAAACCCAAAGGGAAGACAGCACTACTGTTCCCACACAGCTCAGTGTGGGACAAGAAGCTGTAATTTCTTTTATGCTCACCTGGTTTGATTAGTTGGGACAATCATATTTGCAGATGCAAATATGGAAACAGAATGTTCCCCCCTGACTATTCTTAGTGAATAAGTGATTCTTCTCTTTGACCTTGGCAATGTCACAAAGTTCCTTTGTAGGTTAACACTCGTCACTTCTTGTTCTGTTTCACATTGCTCTGTGTTGGTTTTTTTTTTTTTTGTGGTGTAATTTGCAAGCTGCTCTCATGCAATCTACTCTTTAATAGCCCAGCACAACTGCCAGGGAAACAATTGCATCAGAAGCAATTATTTCTGTCTTCAAATTTAGAATCGCTCTTTTTCCTATTAATAGACCTCACCCTTTCTTCTCAAACTACATAAAGCATGTGATTATTAATTGGTATTAATATTTTTTCTTGGAGGATGAGATTTATCATTCAGTAACATGAATATTTATGATAACAAAGTGAGTGTTTTCATGGGATGAATTCTATGCCTTGCTGGCTCTGAGTGAAATGAAAATGAGTAGGTTTTGCATGAACTGAGATGTCATGGTGGATTAATCCAATCACAGCAAGATGGTCAGTTGTATTTTCAGTTTCTTCTTATGCCCAAACACTTGTCAGTGTATGAGCTCTGCTTTAGGGCATTCAGAAAATTATACATGAATAAATATTGTGTTTCACCCTGTCCATGGGATGCTTCTACATAAAAGATGAAGATACAGCAGATTTAATAAAGTAAATTTTATAGTTTATATCTAAAGTGGAGTCTCTTCAGTCTGAATGCTTCTAGAAACATTAAGGGTAAGGGTAAGTAATTGCAAAGCAATTCTGTGAGGGAGAATTCTCTAGTATTCCTGGGCATCTTGAAGTGTTATCAACAGTCCATTCACCCACTCCCTTTACTCAAGAAATTTGGGAAATTCTGCTCACTGCACTCAGGAATAATAATAATAAAAAAAATCTCCCCAGATCTGACAGAGTGAATACTGAACTTCATAGTTATTTATGTAGAGTGCTTTGCTTAATAGAGCTTCAATTCCTGGCTGGAGGCCAGGATCATTATTGTAGTATGGGCTAATATAAATATCTCTTTAAGA